CATACGCGTCCGTTTGTTTTGCAACTTTATAGACGGTGCTGAATTTTAAATTCTACCCGGCGATGTTATTCGACTCCACTCCATTCACAATCTATACCTGCATGTGTACGTGTAACGATACTGTTGATCGCAAAATTCTGATGTCTTTAATACTCGAGAAAATAGATGTCACGTTTCAAGCAAACGTCTTTTTTAACGTTGAAACTTATTCAGATTTCAAATCCGGTTGATTGTTCATTGCTGTTCTACGATTCGTCAGTATTAATAGACTCGCGATCGAACGTTGCACCTGCGGGAAAAAATTGAAAGCGGCTTTTACTGTCAAACTAGGACGGAAAAAAAGAGCAGAGAAAATTGAATAAAAAAAATATCAGTTTGAAATATCGCTGATCGTAATTGTTGGCGTTCGCAGTTTTCAAACTTCTATCGGACTGATAACGCGTGTCGGAGGGAATAGAAATTTTGACAGCGCGAAAAGGTAAACAAAATTTGCGAGCTCTGAGAACGGTACGGATCGATCCGTGAGCGTGCAGCTTCAAAAATGCTCCCCGTCCCGGTACACCAATTTCGACGTCATTAATTTCGATTTAATTAAAATTTTTGTTTGCACGTCGCGCCGTATTTCCGATGTCTTTTCCGTTCCATTCGGAAATAATTACCAAGCGGGGACAAAAAAAGGTCGGATCGAACCTCCGCTCATTTAGACTCGGACGCGCACGCTTCATTTTGCTCGCGATGCGGCGAGAATCTCGTTTAACGGGATAAATTTGATTGCTGTTATTAATTTACGCGTTCCGATCCATAAGTGGTAATTAAATGTTCGATTGAGAAAGAATTTGGACATTCCCCAACGCATTTCAATTGGTTACATACTTTATTTCGTACAGTAATGACATCAGTTATAAATCCATGCAAAATCAGTTCAGATATTTTGTATGTAAAATATAATGTATGTAACGTCATTATTATTTTAATGACGCGCAATGATCACTCGATTTTCAAAAATAGCGACACGATCGATTCGGTATAAGAACGTGACGGTGTAACAACTCGACGTGCGGTGCACGAAAATCGTGGTGGTAGCGAGAGGGCGAAGCGCGTACCGCGTCGATGGCGGCGGCCAGAAGAGCGCGGGTGGGATTTTAGAAGGGTTGCAAGGGTAAGGTAAACGATACTTGGGAAGCTTCGGGGATCGATAGCAATTTAACCACCCTTCGCCGTTCTGTATCGCCTCCACCAGCCGCTGTATCTACAGTGAGAGTCAAAAATAAATGTACGTCTTGGAAAACTGTAAAATTGATTCCTGAATTTTTATTAGTTCCCTTGTATTAATCATTGAACACAAAATCGACTATGAAATCGGACAAAATCAATGTTCGATGTAATAAATCTGCTCCTGTTTGCTTTGTACATACTACGTTATATATTTTATTGTATTTTTTTATATAGAATATGATTGTTTCGATTCTTCAGTTTCAGCATAAAAGTTTGTTTTATAAAAAATAACACAATTTTTATTGGATTCGTACAATAATATTATTTTTCACTTTTCGTACAACGTAAAATTGAGAAGTTTGAAATATCGCTGATCGTAATTGTTGGCGTTCGCAGTTTTCAAACTTCTATCGGACTGATAACGCGTGTCGGAGGGAATAGAAATTTTGACAGCGCGAAAAGGTAAACAAAATTTGCGAGCTCTGAGAACGGTACGGATCGATCCGTGAGCGTGCAGCTTCAAAAATGCTCCCCGTCCCGGTACACCAATTTCGACGTCATTAATTTCGATTTAATTAAAATTTTTGTTTGCACGTCGCGCCGTATTTCCGATGTCTTTTCCGTTCCATTCGGAAATAATTACCAAGCGGGGACAAAAAAAGGTCGGATCGAACCTCCGCTCATTTAGACTCGGACGCGCACGCTTCATTTTGCTCGCGATGCGGCGAGAATCTCGTTTAACGGGATAAATTTGATTGCTGTTATTAATTTACGCGTTCCGATCCATAAGTGGTAATTAAATGTTCGATTGAGAAAGAATTTGGACATTCCCCAACGCATTTCAATTGGTTACATACTTTATTTCGTACAGTAATGACATCAGTTATAAATCCATGCAAAATCAGTTCAGATATTTTGTATGTAAAATATAATGTATGTAACGTCATTATTATTTTAATGACGCGCAATGATCACTCGATTTTCAAAAATAGCGACACGATCGATTCGGTATAAGAACGTGACGGTGTAACAACTCGACGTGCGGTGCACGAAAATCGTGGTGGTAGCGAGAGGGCGAAGCGCGTACCGCGTCGATGGCGGCGGCCAGAAGAGCGCGGGTGGGATTTTAGAAGGGTTGCAAGGGTAAGGTAAACGATACTTGGGAAGCTTCGGGGATCGATAGCAATTTAACCACCCTTCGCCGTTCTGTATCGCCTCCACCAGCCGCTGTATCTACAGTGAGAGTCAAAAATAAATGTACGTCTTGGAAAACTGTAAAATTGATTCCTGAATTTTTATTAGTTCCCTTGTATTAATCATTGAACACAAAATCGACTATGAAATCGGACAAAATCAATGTTCGATGTAATAAATCTGCTCCTGTTTGCTTTGTACATACTACGTTATATATTTTATTGTATTTTTTTATATAGAATATGATTGTTTCGATTCTTCAGTTTCAGCATAAAAGTTTGTTTTATAAAAAATAACACAATTTTTATTGGATTCGTACAATAATATTATTTTTCACTTTTCGTACAACGTAAAATTGAGACACTCTTTCCTTTCGACAATCCTGAGAATCCTTCACTTTCGACCGAATGTGTCCGCGGATATAATTGCATTGAAATGTTCCAGACGGACGCGCATTTAAATCGTAATTTCTCTTTCATTAAATATGAGCTTTCGCGGATATCCACGATATTGTATTACAGACTGTACCCTTCCTCCATCGTCGCTGCCACCACCGTCGTTCTTCTCTTTCTGTTTATTCCAGCCCACCGGTGGCCCAGTCGGAACTCATCCATATACACCGAGAAAATTAATATCTGGCCTTCGTTCACGGGTTGAATAAACTCGGTTGCACGGTCGCTTCCTTCCTCCCCTTTCTCCTCACCCCTAGTTCTTCCGGTGACGGTGAGCAACCCCTTGTCTTCGAACACCCTCCCTGTTCCTAACTCGAGTTTTCACCAAGGATTACCGATCGCTAAAGCGATAGCATTTGTTAATAAATATGTAAATACATACATTTGTAGTGCATATAAAAACTGATGCTAAAATATCATATTTTTAACAAAAAAAAAAACAATTCTCGAGTAAAAGAATTTTCAAACTGCGAAAGTCTTCTGGTATAAAAATACTCAACAGAAAAACAATTTAATATAAGCATTCTCCTACGACTGAGGATGCGAAAAAATGGTTGGTTTATCCAAATTTTGGAGTTCAAGGCTTAAATAGACGTTGCGGCCATGAGTAACGTATGAGCACGCGTGAAATTCATCGACGTCGATCGTAAAGCGCGAATAACGTTTACTGCCACCGCTGAGCCGCTTATATTTACATATTTAACTAACCCAACGTGGGGCGGCGGGTATTAAGGCGCGCACGGATAATCCGGAATATGTTAATCCGCCACGAGATGCATATCGTCGCTTTGAATTATCGCCGTCTACGACGCGGTTCGTGTACACGACTCGATCCCACTGCGACGAGTACGGTACGTATGTAGAACTATGTACACATGAAACATTCATCAAATGTAGCATAACTGCACCGCTGAAAATGGTCCAACTCTTTTCCCTTCTGAAATACTTACGATTCTCTAATATCACATGTGAGATAGTGTTTTACTTTAATTGAACGATCCAATTTTTTAATCGTCTTACAAATTTATTTGAAACGATTAGTAAAAAGAATATATGCTTGTTATAAAAAATGACACTGACATAATTGAGTGAACCGGGACGGTAACGAAGAGGATAAGGAAGTCAGTGAGAGGGAGAGGGACGGGGAGACGAAATTTGGGTTGCTTAGCGCAGCCGTAACTTAAAATCCACAATCAAAGTTCGCTACCACTTGGCAGCAGTTGTCCTCGGATCACGAAGGCCACCTAAGGTCTCGAGAGATCCTCGACTGGCTGCTAGTTCGTCGTAAGAGTGCTTCAGCGTTGTTGTCAGTGCTCCGTGGAATATGCGAAAGCGACACTTGTGCTCATAACCTCTCGCCCTCCTCTTGCCGAACTTCTGTTGCCAAACTTTAGCCTGATGTTAGAAGTAATCCGTGTTTCGACCCTACAAATTTAGCTTTAAAAGTAGCTATAGTATCTTGATTAAGAAATAGATACTTGTCTTCACAATTTTAAGCCAAGTAGAGAATCCTTTAAATAGAGGATAATAGGAAGATAATTAATTCGACTAAAAGTATTTTTTAGTACATTTATTAATTAATTGACGTACATATAATTGAGACAATGAAGGCTGGTTATGATCATTATAAACAAAGGACGCTGCCAACCATCTTTATCGTTCTTCTATTGAAAACGCGATACGCAGTCGTTAAGAAATAGCCGCGGATCATATCGCAACGATGCCAATTATCTTCGAGCTACACCATTCGTAACGCGCGAAGAATCTTGTCCGTCTGTCAGCGCCGTTTGCCAATCACGAGGTCGAACAAGCTGGCACAATCGAGCGGAATTGACGCGTCGGCGACGCGTAGATTTCTGTTGCGTGGGCGAAGCCGGAAATCCAGGCTGCCACCGTCATTATTATTTTGCCTCAACCCATTAATCTCAATTTGTAAAATTTATTCGTTGCTTATTTGAAGTGGAAGTAGACTGTGAAAAATGTTAATATGCGTTTAGTGTCAGTCATTTAATTACATGTAATATGATTTAGTAAATGTAAGGCATATTTAATTCCAATGGTAATTGGGCTTAAGTATTTAATTTTATGTAATGGGAAGCGGCAACTGAGAATTAATGTTGCCTCGTTTGATGTGCACAGGTAACGGGAATTTGGAGCTATTCGATAGTGAGAGCGGGCCGGACCTCACACTATCACCTCAGACCTTTACGTCGACGGCAGAGGCCTTCATCAATGACAATAGCGATAGTCTTGGTGTTCCAGGAGACAACGATACGGGTAAGTGCATCTATTCTCCAGTTTTATTACGCGGAGAGCCAGAACTCGATGTCTGACCAATGCCGTACCTGTACTACTTGCTCGCCGGACTTCGTTACGCATGTGCTCACAATTAAGGATGTATTGGCTATACAGTCAATCGCAAAAGTTTATGTACTTTAGAAAAACGTATTTCTTATAATTAAAAAGAAATCAGACGTCGGAAGAACAATGCTAATAATAAATAGCTACGTGCTAAAAAGTATAGAAGGAAATATCCAATTAAG